AGACTGTGAGAGACTGGATCACACAATAACTGGGAACTTGTTGATTATATGAAGAATTATCTGGAGTCAAAACATCAATTCGGTGCCTATATCTATCTCTCTAGTGCAGTTTAACTACCCCTACGGTAGGGTACGTGGACGGTTGGAGCCTCTATCGTTTAACATTCGATTTTTAAGATTATGATATCTGCCTTTACACATAACATCAGAAAAGCCTGCAGTGATACACAGCATAACGAGCATAAGCTTCATAAAACAATTTACTCACTCATGGAGCTGAGCCCTTCTTGAGGAGAAGCCAAATCAGCAGCTACTCAAGAATTTCATAGCAGTTTATGTAACCCGAAGGTTCATTACCGTGTTCACAAGAGCCCTGCACTGGTCCCTATCCTAAGCCAGATCAATCCAATTCATACCATCCCATGAATGTATAAGGGGTGGGCCTTCTCGACCATTGCACCGCGACCTAGAGTGATTTATTCTGCTTTCCATACTACCATCTAAGATCCACTTTAATATTATGCACCCACCTACGCCTTGGTCTTCCCAGCGGTTTCTTTCCTCCTGGCTTTCCCACCAATATCCTATATGCATTTCTTTGCTCCCCCATTCGTGCTACATGCCCTGCCCACCTCATCTTCCTTCACTTGATCATTCTAATTATATGTGGAGAAGAGTACAAGTTATGAAGCTCCCCATTATGCAGTTTTCTCCACCCTCCTGTCACTTCATCCCTCTTCGGTCCAAATATTCTCCTCACCACCCTGTTCTTAAACACCCTCAGTCTATGTTCTCCCTTAATTTCAGAGACCAAGTTTCACAACCATACAGAACCATAGGCAAAATTATAGTTTTGTATATTCTAATTTTTATGTTTTTGGACAGCAGACAAGAAGACAAAAGGTTCTGGACTGAATGGTAGCAAGCATTGCCCTAGTTCAATATCCTCTTAATTTCCTCCTGAATCAGGTTTTGATTTGTTATCGTCGTTTCGAAATATCTGAACCGTGCCATATTTTCAAAACATCTGTTCCCTATCTGTATGTCATGATTTTGCCCTGCAGTTTGGTGACGAGACAGCAACATATACTTAGATTTCTTTGTGTTTACTTCTAGACCAACCTCCTTACTTGCGTCAATTAAAGTTTGTGTGTTTTTCTTTATGCTATCTATGTTTTCTCCCAGTAGATTCACATCATCGGTACAGACCAACAGCTGATGTGTCCCGTAAGGTCAAACCAATACGACCTGGTTTATGTAGGAAGAAACACGAAAAAATTCTGACAGTCGGTTCTATGTCAAAAATTTAAACCCAGTCAGTACGTCCGGAATACAAGTCAGGAACGTTAACCGATAATCCTACCTAGTCTACATCCCGGTGCTACAAGATTGTAGTCTACATTATGATAAACATCACGACTCTACGAATCAACCCAACAACTGTAGCATTGAAACTTCTGTTTTGTGAGAGTGAGTCAGTAGAGAAATTCGTTACGGTGTAGATGGTCGGGTATTCGCCCCGCAGGGGAATTAGGGAGTCCTCTCTTTCTAGCTGCATGAAGGACGGTTCTACGGACCACCCAGCCCCTTTTCCGAATGGCTAGCGGGGCTTACTGGGACCGGACTCAAAGAAGCAAGGTATGTCACGCATTGAATGGGCGTTTTACTTGCTTACTCATGGCGCTGAGCCCCTCTTGAGGAGCCGCCAATTCTGCAACAACTCAAGAATTTCCCAGCATTGTATGGAACCCGAATGTTCATTGCCGTGTTCAGAAGAATCCTCCACTGGCCAATATCCTGAGCCACACCAATCCAATCCATACCATCCCATCCTATATTTCTGATATCCATTTTAATATTGTTCACCCACCTACGCCTTGGTCTTCCTAGTGGTCTCCTTCCTTCCGGTTTTCCCACCAATATGCTATATGCATTCCTCTTCTCCCCCATTCGTGCTACATACCCCGCCCACCTAATCCTCCTTGACTTGATCATTTTAATTATACTTGGAGAATAGGTGTTTTACTTGAAAAAATCTTCTATCAGCATGTCTGAACTTCCTACCGGCTGTATCAATACGGGTATTATGTTACAAATAAAATTTAATAACTTCTTGTTGATAATCCAACGACCTACGTCACTGATCTCCTTCGACGCACTCCCGTCCTGGTAGAAGATGGAGTCGGCGCGTCAGGTGTTAAGTAAACCAAGATCAGCTTTCCCTACTGCTACCGTTTCCTGTCGCGGCTTTCAGAGTTTTAAAAAGGTAAAAAAGGTAAAGTTGTTTCTGTGCTTAACTAATTAAGCACTACGCCATGAAGGCGTATGGAGGAAGGGATATATATATCCACATTTTCTTGACCTCAGCACTAGTTGGAGTTGAGTGGCCAACTTCATGCACCGGCCGCTTTGCCCCCGGGGAAAGCGCACCATATACCTGCTGAATAGGAGGCTGTGTGAGCCGCAGAGCCGGTCCGTACGATATGGAGAAGAGAAAATTCTGACTATACCGGGACTCGAACTCTGACCCCTCGGTCGTCCTGGCCGTAGCGAGTCACTATACCGACTGAGCTTTCCCGGCTCACGCCATTGACAGTGTGCAACATGTAATGCTACGACAGTCTCCAAGATAATACACAGCAGTTGTTTTTATTGTTGCCGGTCTTGTTCTGCAGGTATTCTACTGTTTGTCCCCATCATGACTCTTCTGTCACGGATAATATTGTGACATATGACCAACACAACTGGCAGTAACAATACGGAACAAACCAAACGTTTGGCGTTATTCGATTCAAGCACTAGTATCATCTCTTCTATCTCCCAAGACGAGAAAATGTTTTATAACGACTCGCCTGGCCGCTCAGAGAAATCTCCACTGCAATTTCAAAATCTGTTTCTGTTTTTCATGGCGGTTAAAATTTGTAGGACGTCGGGTTCACAAACACACAGGCGGCCTGTCATTTTTGTGATCTCTATGACAAATCTTGTGGGGCAATTTGTTAAACCTTCCAGTTCTGAGACCATACAGTTACTCAACTAGACTTACGGCAGATTCGTCATCATTCAACGTATACAATTTCGAAAAGCAGATAAAGATAAACATAATATTTCTCTTATGACTAGGCCCCACTATATGGAGCACAGGCCAGTGTTTTTCAACCCAACCTCTACTGAGGGCCGGTAACGTATTGAAATTCTCTACAGTTTACCGTTGAAATTATACAGGTACCTATACATATGGGGAGCCAGGATAGTGTAGTCGGTATAGCGACTGGCTACGGGGCGGATAATCGAGGGGCCACAGTTCGAGTCCCGGTAAGGCCAAGAATTTTCTCTTCTCCAAATTCTCTAGACCCCCTCTGGGGCCCACCTAACCTCCTATCCAATGGGTACCGGGGGCTCTTTCCCCGGGGGTAAAGCTGCAGGGCCTTGAAGCTGATCACTCGCCTTCAGCTAGTGCCGAGGTCAAGAAAACGCGGATCTATACGTCTACTCCCCCATACGCCTTCATGGCATGGTACTTAATTACTTAAGCGCAAGAACACCTTTACCTTTTACCTTACCTAAAAATATGAATATACTATTAAATTCTTAAATAAACATGACATTTGTGCAAAGCTCACACACACTGCGAGGCGAGAGAACAGATATCATACTTTCCCTGTAGTATTAAGATAGAAAAGACATTTGGTAGTAACTTTTTTAACCGTTAAAATTTACCTCTGACCGGCGGTTGAGAAACATTGGTATATGGGGCGTGTGAGTAGATGTCCACCAATTCTATTCTTCGGCCTGGATAAAATTAAATCAAACGGTTTTCACTATGTGGCTAGGCGCTGGCCCTACAGCGAAACTTCGGATTCAGTGACACAAGACGCAATGTGAAATTGGCTGTAGACAAAATTACAATCTTTTCTCCAAGTTCCTTCGTGTTTCCCTTAATAATCGTCACTCCACTATTGCTCCATACTCAGTTATATACGTATTTTTTTACTGCTAGTGGGGTGGGACTAAGTCCCTTGTACTGCGGCCAATTCTGGTCTACTGTACCAGCCCCAGATGATAGGTGTGGGTGATTGTGGATCAATTGGTAGAATGGAGATTGGCAAGGGAAACCGAAGTACTAGGAGAAAACCTGCCCCAGCGCCACTTTCTCCACCACAAATCCCACTTGACCAGACCCGGGATCGAACCCGGACCGCCGCGGTGGGAAGCCAGCGACTAACCGCTTGAGCTATGGCGCGGCCATATGTACGTATTAGTGCTCCCTGAAGTGAGCGATAGCCCCGGTTAGGCGGCACACTGCAACAACCTCCACCTTTCAGGTGTGGCTTTACCTCTGACCCGCTAGAGACAAAACAAGAGAATCAGCTGTTTTGAATCGTGCGTGTATGGTATCTAAGCGCGCTTATCGACGCTGTTGGGAAATGAAAGAATTATGTTTGTGGCAAGGAAGTCTACAAAACCTGTCCGTGGCATTGACACGATATCTGACAGCACGTGTCTTAGTGAGGAACTGACGTAAACGGGACAGCGCTTTTGATGGTCGTGGAACCTCTCTAGAAACAAAGCTGCGTATATACATCATTTTCCGTACACTTCTTACTACAGGGGCACAGATTTCCAATTTGCAGGCCAGTGAGTGAATCCCAGAATACGTACTGCACAACACCGCAGCAGCTGAAGGTATCCGAGCTGGAGCGCTGGGCCCACACATTGGGCTCTAATGCCTACTTCTCTGGAAACGAACAGCCTGGGTATCGCTGAGTTATACGTGTGTCTCAATAGCGTTGGCGGTTATGTGGGGAAATACATACGTGTATAGCGTAGAAATTTGTAAGCAATCTTCCATTCACGCGAAACATCGCTGGGATTATGCGGATAAGTATAGGGTACAGATTTCTGTAGAAGATGTGTATTTGTGAACGTAGGTCTACAGCACTGGGGCAACAGGCAGGAGTGGAAACTGGAAGCTTATCTAAAATTGTAGAAAGACTTACGTGCCGCATCTTCGATGGATGGCTGTTCGTGAGACAACGTGTATCCTGTAAAAAAATAAATAAAAGTATTACTAATCACATGCATTTTCATATTCAAATGATGGAACTCCCTGCAATCCTGATTCGTGGGAAAAATATTTCAAAGGATGTACCTAGAACAAAAGAAATAATACGAACAAATATGAAGACATGGACATCAGTCCATTTAATATATACATAAAATTACTGTCGCTAGAGCATAAAAACACGTTATAAATGCCGAGATACATTAGATCTAAAGGGGCCCCATACGCGTACGATTCTGACTCGTGAGTCCGACTCGGCTAGAGTTCCAATGAGCCAAACTCGTCCGTTTGTGGGTTGCCACGCTCATACGTGTGTGGCGAAATTAATTCGAGCCCGACTCCTTGCCGAGCCGGACTCGTACGTGTATGGGCCGCCTAAGAGTATATTCATTCGGATTGGGTCAAACAGAAAATCAATCGACGCAGATCCTCGAAAAGCACATTATTTTCAATTATTTGCTTTTTTGACGTTATCCATCGTCCATTTTTTAACTACGTTTCGGAGACTGGACTCTGTATCTGTCATCAAGTAAAAGTCTTCTCAGTTGGGCCCAATCGGTAGAGCTAGTCTCTATCGATTGAGCCCAATTGAATGCATTTTTTTATCTCGGGACGAGATAGAGAGTCCAGTCTCTGAAATGTTTTAAACAAACAAAAAAGGAAGATGGGTATTGTCCAAAAGGTCACTATTTAAATTAATATATTATCATCACAAGAATTTATATCTTACTTAGGTCAGAAGTGGCCGCATTACAAGGGACTTAGTCCCACCCCACTAGCAATAAAAAATACGTACAGTTTAATATGAAACCTTGAGACAGTAATATTAATTAAAGCAAAAAGAGGGACTGTCAATGTGTCGAAGTACTGTTTCCTCTTGGCAGATGAGATGAATGCCATTGTATGCGCGCTTTCTAGAAACAAAACAGCGTTAGTCTGGCTCAAATGCAGATTACGTTAAGAGCTGTCGGTACTTGATTTCACCTGCTCCAGTAGATATGCAGAGAGAGTCCGTCGCAAACAAGCGGGGAGGAATCATGATTTCATGTTACTTCAAACCCATATTATTTATTGGATCTTCCTTAACAGACTAATTCTAAGTGAAATTTGAGAAACGTGACGACGTGAAGTTTGGAAGAACGTTTCGAAGGAATCAGCTGTTTTGATCTTCAAGGCAGGAGAATGAAGAGGCAGCTGGTGCTTTCGACACGTCGGTAACGTTCTACCAGACTACATGGCGTCACATCACAGATCTACAATCTAATCATGTTTGCTCGGGAAGGAAAAATCATAAGTAGGCTCACGTTTCTGCAGACTTTCAAATTCCAGTTCAGAATGTTTTCTGGTTGGCAATCCGACATTAATCTCTCCGAAAATCATAGCTACTTCTTAGAATTAATTGCATAACGTATGTGCAGAATACAAAATATTACAAATGCATACGCAGTTTTGATCGGAAAAGAGCTACTTGCGAAACCAAGTCACAGATGTGAAGATATCTGTAGAAGGGATATAAAGAAACGGATTGTGAGAACTGATTCCAGGTAAGGTTCGATGTAAGGTTTTTTGTATTACCAGCCTTGAATCGTATTTATAGCCACTGAATTCTTCCTATAATTTTATTACGACGATTATGGACTGCAGGGTGTTTCGGTGATAATTAATATTGAGAATAATCAATATTTTTTTACTCCCAAGTTGGGGGATGAGCTCGTCATGACGCTTCTACCATTTCATCAGATATGATTCTTACAGAGGAAAAAGTGAAAGAACATCAATATTTATTATTCGTTTCGTGTCAGCAGAAACTTGGCATTTTGCGAAACTTTTCGGATCCCTTCGTCAGAGCCACGTTTCACCGTTTCAAGGTCGCCCTGCAGCGTCAGAACGACGAAACTGAATGCAATGCATCGGTGAGCATTTCGCAATCCGTGTGTGAACGTAAAGCTAGGCACGCCTTGTGATGCTGCTTTGTTTCTCGTGCCCAGCGCTTGCTTCACACTGCCCAGTGACGCACCAGCGGGGTTCAGTAACCCTCGCCCCCAGGGCAACTACTATTTTGTTTTATTGCTAGTGGGGTGGGACTAAGTCCCTTGCACTGCGGCCACTTCTGGCCTATTGTACCAGCCCCAGATGATAGGTGAGGGTGATTGTGGACCAATTGGTGGAATGAAGATTGGCAGGGGAAACCGAAGTACTCGGAAAAAACCTGCCCCAGCGCCACTTTGTCCACCACAAATCCCACATGACTTGACCCGGACTCGTACCCGGGCCGCCGCGGTGGGACGCCAGCGACTAACCGCTTGAGCTGTGGTGCGGTCTGGCCAGCAACTAACAACTGACTGAATATGCTACTCTCTACTCTTGAAGAAATACTCGTACTTCTTCTGGGATATAACGTCATGTACTGGTAATCTTATCTGCTTGCTGCCTGAGGTTTCTTGCACGACCTATTCTCCAACCCTGAAGATGGAGGAAATATGTTTCTCCGAAACGCTGGCTGAAATTCAATGGACTACATGGCGTTATATCCCAGAAGACAGAACTCTTCATAAACGCAGCTATGAGAACCCTCAAATCCTGGATATCATTCAGTTCTGAAGTTCTCACAAAGGTGGCAACGAAGATTAAAACAATCTTCTGGGATTTCAGCCTCATACCCTGAGGATGGAAGCAGAAATTTCCACCGAAATGTCGGTAACTATAAACCAGAGTACAAGATGGCAACCTTCAAATATCAAGCGTAACACATCGAAAACGGTCGTGCTGCAAGAGTCTCTTAACCTCTGTGCCTATGCACCTCTACGAAGAAATACGGGTGGGTGACGTAGGAGTAAGTTGAACAATCATAGTATTCTGCATTACAAACATATGAAAGGTCATATTCCCTTTCCGACCATGTAATTCCCACAGGATTCGTCGATATCCGTTATGACACTAAGTTATCCTTGTTTATTATTTTTCTTAATGTTCTTACCGGGGTGAGACAGTCCACTTGGTACTGCGGCCACTTATGGGCTATTGTACCAGTCCCAGATGACAGATGATGGTGATTGTGAAGCAATTGGTGGAATGAAGATTGTTAGGGGATACCGAAGTCTCGGAGAAAACCTGCCCCAGCGCCACTTTGTCCACCACAAATCCCACTTGACCAGACCCGGGTTCGAACCCGGGCCGCCGCTGTGAAAAGCCAGCGAATAACGGCCTGAGCTATGGCGCGGTCTAGGTTATCCTTACATCCAGTCTAGACATCGAGACAAAGAGAAAAATTCCTTCTGCGCCAGTAATCAAATCTCTGTCTTCCAGCCAACAGCCTATAGTTTTAATGACTGAAATATTTCAGTCGACACAGATAACTTCCAAATGCAAGTCAAGTGCTACTGAAGTGATTCGCTTGATAATTACTTCAGGTTGTCTTGTCAGAGTTTATGATGAGGTACCATAACTTTTTAGTACTAAACATGAAGAACAAGTTTAAAGTATTCGTAAAAAAGAAAAACACTTGAACAGCCTTGATACATTGTTTTACCTTAGAGTAACCTCATTCGAAACAGCACATAAACAGAGCAATAAACAAGTACCAATGGCAGTACAGGATACCGGGAATAGTGACAAATCTGCAAAGAGAATGTGGCAAGAACACCTGTGCAGATTCTGGGCTTATGAAATGGGCGTGATGTTGCGCCATGGGAACACGGCATGGGCGAAACGAATCAGCCCCTCTATTATGTACTATATTTTGGGGACTTTATGAGGCACTACAGCACTGAATGGAAGGTCTGCCTGTAGATCAAAAAGTAATTTAAAGTACAGCATTCCGACATTAGTTGGTTTCATAATAAAAATATTAATCTGAAGCTCTTGTGTTTCATACTTTATTGTTTCGTTGTTAATAAGATGTAGCAGATGTGTATTTTCATAACTTATACACTTCTCCAAATTAATTAAAATGATCGAGTCGAGGAGGATGTGTTGGGCAGGGCGGGGAGAAACGGAATGTATATAGGATATTGGTGGGAAAACCAGAAGGAAAGAGACCACTGGGAAGATCAAGATGTAGGTGCGTGAACAACATTTAAATGGATCTTAGATACGATGGCATGGGATGCATTGGATTGATCTGGATCAGGATAGGGACCAGTGGAGGGCTCCTGTGAACACGGTAATGAGCTTTCGGGTTCCATAAAATGTTGGGAAATTCTTGAGTACTGCACAATTGGCAGCTTCTCAAGAAGGTCTCAGCTCCGTGAGTGAGTGAATAAGCGGATGTGTATTGGGAGGATAGACATGAATTTCTAAAATGTCATAACGTTAAAATTCCGTGTGTTGCAGTTTTGGTGTTATAATGGATCTATCTGAGAAATCTGTAAACTTGAAACGATTAAGAATGAAATACACACACACACACACACACAAAAAAAAGAAATCCATAGTTTTAGTCAACAAGCGAACTATACCGACCGAGCGACCGCCGCTTGTCGTCGAAGTTAGTGCCAACTTTAGCGGATAGAGGGTGTCACGTGGTCAGCGTAAAGGAGCCCCACGGCCATTAATCTAGGTTCTTTAGACCGAAATTAAGAATGAAATATGATTTAAAATTTAACGCGGAATCAAAAAAGGCTTAACTAACTCCATGAAACAGAGTCCTTCTAGAGAAGGATGATTACTGTATTCTGAGATGTGACGCCGTGTAATTTGGTAAACCATATGGTCACATCCCACATGACAGAGATTTCATAATCACCGTCATGAGAGCTTAAAATGTCACATATATTCGTTTCTGTGTTAATTGGATCCAGCCACTGGATCATATCCAGAGCCAGCTGAATCCTGCCCACATCCGTGGCACATTTCCTGGTGATTTGTCTTAATATTATCTTCACTTCTACGCTTATGTGTCCGAAAGCGTTTGTTCCCTTCACTCTTTTTTTCGACTTTAATCTTGTATGCACATCTCGTCTCCCTCATTAATGCTACATG